GGCTCATCTTATCAAACGCATTCCTTTCTATATTTTCAGAGAAATTCCGAGCAGTTCTAATCAATGGATTATTGTCTAGAAATTTTACTAGCTTCCTCAAAGGACCTAGAAATAATTACACACACACTTCCTATAGTACAATTAAATGCCTAAATTGACCTGCAACCTATCGAATTAAGTATATTGAACTTACCCGTTAATCCGGGGAGAAATATCAAATTAACAATGCACTGACTATAACTTGCTTATCCACAGTCACTGTGCAACTAACTGGATGTACCAGGATTCGATCAGCAAAAAGAGACCTAATTCGGCTGCGCACAGCTATTTATAGGGGCATATGGTCACGTGTAAACTGCTAGAAGATTTCGCTTCTATCTCCTTATAAGGAACGAAATATCATCTAAACCGGTTAAGCAAGCCACGCCTCTTGTAATTCTTTCCAGAACATTAATGTGACGTCACATCTTATCTTGTAATTTATTCAACAAAAATCATACACTAACTCCATCTATCATACTTCCCAAACACATCTATCAGGTTCACTAAGTTTTCACTCGTTTCCTGCTTATTTAAGCGGCAGACAATATTCGATGATTTATGTGCATGACGATAGATGGCGCTATTAAAAAATTATAATATTAGTTAAAATTATTTATAAAATTATAATGCTACAACTGTAAAACACTTTACCCCTTATTAATAAACGGAGACTACTCTTAGATTAGTTACTCCCTTATTGAATGACAAATGCATTTGTGTGACATGAATAAAAGACCGCTTAACTAGTCTTAGCCTATTCCTTATTTATTAAAAAGGGAGTTTAAGTATAAACATCAATCCATCTATCCATACCTAGTTATTTATACTGGTATAGAAAATTGGGGTTTTAATTTTTCTACATAATTGAAATGTCACAATTCAATACCAGTATATACAACTTCAATGGAAGATAAAAGGAATAGGCCATCAACAGTTTCTAGGGATCAATTATACACTCCATATTTACAAATTATATTATTCAAAATTGGATTTAAGTGGTATCTACATTCTGTAAGTATAAAGAAAAATTGTAGTACCTATTCTTAATTTTGGGATAGGCTTGAATTACCTACGGGCATTGCTTACTTACTTGATCCCTAGATATCATTAATGTGTATATATGTAAAAACCGGATACAAGTGAAATATAACAAAACAAGTTTAAAGAATGAAATAAAGACCACATAAAAAGGAAGAAACAAGGTAGCCAAATTGTTTCATCGTTTCTCTATTTGTTCTATGAAAATTACAATAAAAGAACGCGCATTTAGCAAACATCTTGGCTCTACTTGCACCAAAGTTCTTTAAACAATATAATATTAACATAATACATTACACATTATATTAACAGAATTTTTCATGGAAAAAAAATTTAACTGCAAAAAATAAAATAATAGGTGCCTTGAATAAATACAAGAACATTTAAATATATATAATAAGGCAAGTACAATCTGTGTTTCAATGCAATCAAGAGAAATATACGTGACACTGATTCTAAAAAACTAGGTACCTTGCATAAAAATAAAGGTTTCATTGTCGTATTTTTACACACGTAAGAAGTGTACACACGTAAGAAGTGAAACTTCTTTATGGCCTTATTTTTTTCGAAAAATGATCTACATGCAACTTTCCAGAAATATATATATAGGCGTGCGCTAAGATTTTTCAAAAACTCACCCACTAAAGGGGTATAACTACACCTTACCTTACCTTACCTTACCTTACCTTACCTTACCTTACCTTACCTTACCTTACCTTACCTTACCTTACCTTACCTTACCTTACCTTACCTTACCTTACCTTACCTTACCTTACCTTACCTTACCTTACCTTACCTTACCTTACCTTACCTTACCTTACCTTACCTTACCTTACCTTACCTTACCTTACCTTGTGTGAAACACGAATATTTGCTGTCGATACTTTTTTTTTTTAAAGTTGACAGAAGAAGCAATTGTTCGGATGAGGTAAATAGTGCTCTTTTAAAAAAAAGATAGCGCGTAACCAAAAAACGTGACGCGTAACCGAAAAAAATGTGACGGTAAATTTTTTTTCAACACTGATAAAGAAGTTTCACTTCAAAAAACAAAATAAAAATCAAACCGCTAAAATTATAAATTAAAATCTCGAGAAATATTTCAAATCAGAGTTCATTTAGAGGTTTATCTTTTTTAGAGTGTTGAAAAATTACTGTACACTTTAAAAATTAATTTCAGAAAGAATGTTAATTCAACAAGGCGGCCGCCTCCAGATAAAATCCCATAGCTCCGTCAATACCCATAAACTATATATGCATCTTTCTCTCCAACTATCATTGAAACTAAGAGTACTAAAATACTTTGATTATATTTGTTATTTTTAAGCATGTAACTGCTAGATGTTAAAATCTAAAGAAAATTTTACTAGAAAAAAATCCACGCGGACCAGACCGGACGAATGCACTGACCATTATGCTACCGCAGCCCTGATGGCCGTTTCGAATTTTCTCAAGCCTTTCTAAAGCTGCAAGGCAGCGCCATCTCTATTCATTTTAGGTCCCGACGGCTGCCAGGTACGCGTGGATTTTTCGCCGCTAGAGGCGCTGGTGTAGCGTGAGGTCTCCGAAATGTCAAATGTTATTGCTTGTTGGTTGACTACGCGGGTTTATTTCTTATTAAAATAATGTTGTGAATAATTATATAATAAAGGTAACAATCCGGCTTAGTTATGGCAAATATGAGTTATGTGGCAATGAATGTCAGTTATTAAAAATTTGAGTTTAGAAAAATGATTATGTTCCAATTTTTTTCGAATAAAACGGAACTGGGTGTCACTGTGGCATGGCCTATTATGTTTAGGATATGATTCTTTTGTGTTAAAATACGATCTAAATGTAACCTTTGATTTCATGTGCGTTTTAATAAACTTTAAAAGTTACAATTTATGACCTCACTCAACAGTGGCGCCATCTGGTGAGACAGAAAACGGTAGCCCTCATTGAAACATTCGACCAACTAAGGGTGCGGCCAGAGTGCACTCAGATTCAGATTCAGATTCAGATTTCGAAAACAAGCGCGAGAAATAAACAGTGTAGTCTAAGCAGGTTGCCTGCCTGCTGCGCGAGAAAAAGCAGGCAACCTGCTTAGACTACACTGTTTATTTCTCGCGCTTGTTTTCAGAACCTGAATCTGACTCTGAATCTGAGTGCACTCTGGCCGCACCCTAAGATTGTATACACCCTGCTGGCCAATTATGCTCGCTAATTGTGATATTGTTTTGATGTCAATTTCACATTAAGTATTATGCTCTCCGAAAAATGAGATATCAAAATGACATCAAATGCGTATTACGTTCAACTTTTTGACATAAAATAGTTATTGCATAAACGTCAAAAATGTGATCTTGATGTGACATAGGCATCAACATCATTTAACATCACATTACGATTAAATCACTAAAGCATAATTGACCCGCTGGGAGCTGTTTGGATCTCTCTTCTCATTTTTTAAGATTCTTCTTTTTCAAGTAAGACAAAGGTAACATGCCCATACAGCCTACTCTTTAGATTTATTAATCTATTCTCTTTTAAATTAGAATGTCGGTGTGGTTCATTCTAATATTTCAAGGAGTGTTTTTTCGATAAGCTTCTGTGAGGTAGTCAACACCGCAATAAAGTTCTCACGTCCACTTGACTAGAATAGCGTATATTTAAAGATTCCACTAATTGAAATTCTTCAATTGCTGCAGTTATTTCACAATATACACTATGAACGAATTTAATAATAATTAAAGTAAGACGCCAACCGTACTCGATGTAATCCCGCCAGAAACTCTCTCTCTCTTCTCAGAACTAAGGCTGCGTTGAATCCTTCGCTCTGAGTGCAAATTTTACCCAGACGTTTCAATTTAGACAAAATGTAAGATGTAAGGAACATTGGTGTCGATTCTTCCATGATTATCTAAACCTAAACTTAAAATTGATAACCAGTGGCGGCGCTAGGCGTCGGCGACGTCGGCCACCGCCGACGGCCTCGCGCCTGAGGGGGCCTCGCAAAAAATTTTTACAAATTACCTATATTTTTTCGTTTCTCCTGTCCTGGCTTAGGTAGCCGACCCCGAACAGATCGGGGAAAAAGCTAAGCAGACGATAATGTCTTTTATTATTTTCGAACACGTGCGTGATGGAAGCGAGTAGTACTTTACAGGTATTCAGAATCGTCTGTCTGGCAACACTATTTTTGTAATTAAATTTCTATGTTTGTAATTATTTTTTGTTATCATTTGATTATCAACAATAAAACTTGTTTACTCATACGTTATTTTATACTGCGAAGTAAAATAGGCCTCGCGAACTTGATGTCACCGACGTCCACATGTGGTCTAGCGCCGCCACTGTTGATAAATATATATCCTTGTCATTCGCTATACAGAATGAAAAGGAGAGACTGAGGTTAAATTTAATTTTAGTTTTGATTATCATGCCAGAATCGACACCAATGTCAAGATTGACATTGGTTGCACCTCGAGTGTAGGTCCTGAACGAAGTCAAATTTTCCAAAGACATATATGTCCAATCTGGCAGGATTCTCTAAAGCTAAACTTATATTTGACAACAGTGCATCCTTGTCCTTCTCTATACAGAATGAAAAGCTGAGACTGACCTTAAATTTAGTTTTAAGTTTAGAGAATCAAGCCAGAAGTGACACCATAGTCTATAAAATTTTCAATGATTTTCTTATCTGTGGCATATTTCTTCTGTTGTGTAGTGATGCGAATAGTTTGATTTGGTTTTCAACAACATTATTAATAAAAAAATAAATATTTATTAATATTAATTATAAACTAAAATTGTTTATCCTGTGACGCCTTTTGTGTGTGTGTGTTGTGCTTTTAGAAAGAGAACAGTAACTGAAGTCTGCGTAACTGAAGAATTAGTAGAATCGTCAAAATATACGCTATTCCAGTCAAGTGGACGTGAGAATTTTATTGTAGTAATAACTACCTCACAGAAGCTTATCGAAAAAGACTAGGCTGTATGGGCATTGTTCCCTTTGCCTTCCCTGAAAAGGGAGAACTTAACAAAAAAAATTGTTTTTGTTTGCAATTAGAACTGGCGGTGTGGCGGTCACTGAACAATTATTTTATACTAGTGATGTTACGGTCTTGAATTTTGACAAACCGGATTTGATCGGTTAGTAATACATGCAAATCGGTTTCCGAACCGAACCGCTAAATTTTCAGTAAACCGCGGTTTGAACCGGTTTGAACCGTTTGACGAGTTGACGAATGAAACTTACGAAACAACAGGTGCTATTTTTTTTTTAATTCTACATATTTTATTGATATTACATCGTGCAAATATTTAAAGGTAATTGAAAAATAACAATTAAAATATGAAAACAAATAACAATAATCAGAATTAAAAATGTCAAAATAAAAATAAACAAATATCTATGTAATACCGTGTTTAAAAAATTACAAAAAAATATATAAACTCTATTAATTACATAAAACCGTACTTCTTAACTTTGAGAATAAAATACAATTTTAATAATCAACAGACAATGAAAACAAAATTACACCGTCAAGTCAGTCAAATCTACCAGAGTCCGTTTCATTTCGGTTCGGTCGGTAAGTCGGTTATGGCTGTTGTATTTAAATTGACGATGCGAGCGAACCGTATCCGCTACTGTAAGTCGGTTCGTATTGGTCGGTCAAGTTTTATTAGGGTCGGTAAAGCACGTCAGGAGCCGCACGCGATTTGTGGATGGCGGCATAAACAAGAATTGACAGGCGCGCATGCGCGCAGAGCGATACGAACGAATGCCACGGTAGAACCGGTTTACGAAGACGTTAACCGATTCAACTCGGTCCATGCTCAAACCGGTTTGAACCGGTTTGAAAAGTCGAGTCGTTACATCTCTATTTTATACTGGCGCTCCACTCCCCTGACCAAGTAATCTTTTGGCGGTCTGGCCGTCCTTCCCTTTCGCTAAAAAAAATGAAAGAAGTAAGTGATACTAGTAATATGTGTGCAGTAAAGGAAATGCTGCTTGATGAGAGCAAATTGGTCACTTACGTCTCCCTTAGCAAAGAACTTTGTATCCATGTAAATGAAAGCAAGGTTTTACTCACCAATGTTCTTAGCGAGCTACGCAAAATCCCTACGAATACATCTCTTAGTGCAAGCTACATCATTTCTGGATTACTTGACAATAACAGGGCTCAAACAACCGTTTGCAATGAAAGTGAATTATCGGATTTACAAACCAAATTCAAAACTATATTTTTTCAGCATGTGTATAGCTTATGTGCTGGAAATTCATCTGCAGACAATGTCTCGTATATGGCGGTTAACAAATTTGAGGACTTACCTCTATGCACTGGTCTTATAAAAAGTAACTTGTGTGAAAAGAGACCAGCTGAAGAAATTCAAAAATCAAGAACCAGTAGTCAAGATATAACGATTGAGAAAAAATCTGCCCCTGCTTTGCAGAAGAAAGTTAAAGAAGAATGTAATAAAGAGAAAAATAACACAGGTGAAAACTCTGTCGCAAAAATTCAACATACATTATCAGAACCTTTGATAAAAACAGAGCTACCATCACCCAAAAAAACCCTGTCTAATGGTTATTCACATAAACCTGATTTAAAAAATGTTAATAAGAACCAAAAAGGAATAGCTGGATTTTTTAATAGAGACAGTAATAATACTATAACTAAAAAGTCTGTGAATAACATTCAAGAAAATCATTCTGAAAAAAATCATGAAGAGATAAGAAAATCTGAGAAAATGGAAGTTGACGAAGAAGTGAGAAAACATCATAATAAAAAAGAAGACAGTAGCACATCTAAATCTACAAAAAATCTTGATCAAATAAAGAAGACTGCCAAAGTGAATAAGAAGCGAAAACGAGTATTGCAGGTCTCGGATAGTGAAAGTGAGAATGAAAAGAATGATCCTTTTGTAGATAAATCTGCAACTGAACCAGAGTCAGATGATGAAATACCTCCTACTCCATTAATAAACACTGTTAAAATTACTTCTGGAATTGTAAATCCTAAGAAGAGGAGAAAGATAGTTGATAAGACTTATACTGATGAAGAAGGATATATATTAACTAAAAAGGAAGAAGTCTATGAGAGTTGTTCAGAAAATGAAGATATTAATACCAAGGAAAACAATGAAAATGTTAAAGTCACACCTTTGAAAACTATTGATGCTCCACCAAAAGATAAGAAAAATATCAATGTTAATAAAAATAATAAGAAAAAGTTGAGTTCCCCTCAGAAAGGAAAACAGGCAACATTGATGAACTTTTTTAAAAAAGTATAAATAAAAGAAATATGTTCTTATTACAAATTATGGTAACATTTTTTAAAATATTAATCCTGACCCCCCTGAATGGGTCCTGTAGTATGGGTATGTTTTGTTATTTTAAAATTATGTTCTGGTTTGAAAGTAAATCCTATTCATAACATATTTTTTACTTTTATCAGGACACAATTTTGTGTTCTTAAGAAATACAAATTTTATTGTGTAACTATGGAATATGGATAACCTTATAAACAGGTTTCAAACTATAAAGAACTATTTAATAAAAAAAAACAAGCTGATTCCATTTTGTTATTGTTCAGTTTGCTGGAAATAAAATAATGTCGCATGATAGGTATTTCGTTTTTATTTGTGAAATTAAATTAATAAGTTCTCCACATCACATTTAAAAGCTGCTTACTGACAATGAGTTGTTGAAAACTTATTTTAAAAACTATCTTTTGGTTCCAATTGCCACAACCCAATCAGGGTGAACTTGGACATCCACTAAATATGAGCATTTTGTGTTGTAAGTTGAAGATTGTACATCTTGACTGGATACTTGCCTGTAAATATAAAAAAAGTAATTTAGCTGTATAGTAAGAGAGTATTTTCAGTAAAGAGTTGTTAATGGAATTGTTTAATCACGACGAGCGAACTAACTCGCTTGTTTGGCAATATAGGAGTCACCTCAGACATAATTAACATGCACGTAGGCATGGACATAGAAATTTCTGTGTGTGTTGTTGCAAAACTAGTTTTAAAACTAGTAGTTTTGGTTTCCACACATATGGAAACCTTTCCTTTGACATTAATTCATTAATTTTTGTTTGTTATTTTAATAGGAATAGAAATACACATTCTGATGGCGCAATTGCATTTGGTCGTTAGCACGTATTTGAGTGTATGAAAGACATTTAATAATAACAAAATAATAGTTTTAATCTTAGATTACAACAAAAAAGGAAGGTATTACTTGAATTCAGGCACACTTATAGTTACCTATGAAGATTTATGATCCACTGACAGACTGCTTCTTTCTATACCTATATTGTTTATGATATCTGTAGTATTTTTTAGAATACATACTTATTTTTGGCTTGGTTATCCCATAGAACTTTCACTATTCCATCCATGCCCGCAGAACACAATAGAGAATTTTCAATTGATAAATCACTAGGGTCCAATTGTATCCTATTGGTGAGACTGGCTTTTCCCACTGCTGACCAGTCCAGAGCTGTCACTTTTCCATGATGCCCTCTGTGCTCATGAACGCATGTGCAAGCTGCCAGATCCCAGACTTTTATCTTCTTGTCATCACCTGAAAATAAAATAAAATTATGTGTTACAAGTTTTGATTGCGATAACCTGCACTACAAAAGCATAATTTAGTAATTTGATTTTAATAGAAAAAAATTAAAGAAAAACTTGTTTTTCTGTAGAAGTGTGGTCTAGATTTTTATCTCAAAGCTTAGAAAATTACTTCAGCATCCTGATGTTAGTGAAGTCCATTTGTGAGGAAAGGCGATAGGATCTGATGCCACTCCAGCAGACCTGAACTCAATTCACGGATCTTGTTGAGCTTCGGCAATCAACTACAGAATAGCGCTATTTGACTGCATACAGACTTGTAAGGTGGAGATTACTTTTGGAGGTTTCGAGTTTCGACGACCTCCTTGTCCGAGTGGTTTGTTGGTCCCGGGTTTGAATGCGGTGGGAGCAGATGTTTGTGTGATGAATACGAGCATTTGTTCTCCAGTCATGGATGTTTAGGCGCTTTGCAGACGACGGGGCGGGACGGGCCGGTCTATTTCGCCGCGAATAATACTACAAAGTGAATCCTATACTTCAAACGCACACAGCGGTCAAATAGACCGCGCCTTGGGTGCCCGGCGGGCACTGGCGGCGTGGCATGTCCGCGGCTGCCCGCCGTGGATCATACAAACCAGTTTATATGCAGTAACGCAGACGGCGGCGCGGGGCGGTCATGGACTATTCACTAGAACGAACGTCCTAAACTGACCGCCTCTGCCCGTCGTTTGCTTTGTGTACGCGGCGCGGGCAGCCGCAGACATCGACGGGCAGACGCGGTCTTTATTGCTTCGCGGACAAAATGCCCGCCCCGCCCCGTCGTCTGCTCAACGCCTTAATATGTATTTCTATATATAGAGGGTGGTCCATCTAGTGACGTCAACATGTTTTTTTTAAATTCCTCGCACCTGGGGGTATCTTAAAATACCCCATGTATGTTCCGCGATTTTTCTTAGTTTTCGAGTTATAATTTTTTTTGTGTATTTTTAATGATTTCTGCCAGCGAGGTTTCAAAAGTTCTTATCTTTTTTCGTAGTAGGTATTTTGCAGTCTTTTTTTTTGTGACATAATTGTCCTGAATGTTGTTTTAATAAAAAAATAACTCAACTTCCTGCAATTACTTAAAGTTACTCAAAAAAGGCTTCAAAGTTGGATCTTTAGTTTTTAGTATTGATATTTATACACTCGGCGTCAAAAAATTGCACCTTTTAAAAATATTCAAAAATTCTTAAACCTTATTTAGAGAATAGTGTTGTGTATCATTAGAAAGGTAACAAAAAGGAGAATCAAAAAACCATTATACTTAATAAAAAATATACAAACAAAATTTAAAAAAAAAAAAAATCCTTAATTAATTCCTAATTAACACCAGATAATTTACAAAGAAAAATGTACAAAAAGTATCTTAAAACTGACTTAAAATCTAGTGTTTCTTCTCTCTTCACTTTCGTCTTCGTAGAGACGCTCGCGGTGCGTCTACGAACTGCCTGAAGCTGTTGTTGCAACTCAACAACGTTAGAGAAACGATTTCTCAAAGAGTTCGACAGAATGAACCGGTCGTCTCTTTCTGAAGTGCAGCGACGCCCACCCATGTCTCCGAATATAGCCCCCAGTCTATGAAGCGCTGGTATACTCTTCGAACGGAAAAACGGCTCAGGGAATCCGATGTTGGAGATTTTCCATTATGGAGGTTGCGGGGTCGCACTCTGTTTCGAACAGAGTGGTCGATGAGGTCCGTTCCCCCCTCTCTACGTCTTCACACACCGCCTTCGGCGCGGTCATGCTTATCGGGTGAGACCCGTGAGGGCGGCAAAGTGAACGACCAGCGAGTGGCGGGCGGTGGACTTATCGTGAGGGGGGTTAGGGCCAATCTGGTTTAGGTTGTCGCAATCGTGGATGTGTCGTTTCCGAGAGAGTCAATTCAGGTGGAAAGACCCACATTGACCCCGTGTGGACCGTTTTATACCCACACAACACAAGGAAGCGCAACTAGCGACTCTCACGGTAGCAAAATTTGCATCAAATTTTTGTGACACTTTATTTGTTGCACTAGGTTTTATTTGATAATGAAGAGTAATATTTTTTATTTAGTCAATTAAGTAACCTTTTAAATAAAATTAATGTGACTACATGTGCATATTAAGAGTTAATGACATTTGAAAGTGATTTTCTAAGAGGTGCGATTTTTTTGACGCCGAGTGTATATGTACAGTTTATGTATCCTACCCATTACCCTAGTATGCCATAACACAAGCCATACATTGCTTACTTTGTGGCTAGGATAATTAGTCAAGTGTAAATATTTATTTATTTACTTTCCCAGGCGAGCCCGGTCGTTCCAATTAGTGTTATATCTGGATGTGAAACAAGAGTAGAGATTATGGCCGCACTTAAAATATCCTTATGACTCATTCTCATCCGATGGTCGATCCAATTCCTTGCCTTAGTGAAATTCCTCTTTTGTTTAAAGTCGTAGGTACCTACCCCATCCTATAAATAGCTTCTTAGTTAAAAATAACACGTTCTACGTGGTTGATTGAAGTTGCTACGGGTATTTTTGGTATAATAACAAAAACAAAATGTATAATAACTACCAATTTAAATAGAAAAATCATATTCGCCTAAAATTTCTTTGTATCAAGCCTTTACAGTAATGTTCTTTTATGTTAATTTGACTTGGTCAAGTAATCGCCGGTTAGTGCGAAGACAGGGCTCTGACTGACAGAGCACTGGCCACAGGTAACTATGTACGCTTCATTCTAATAGAACCTTACACACTAATACATTAACATACCGGCACTGACCAAGTAATCGCCGGATGGAGCGAAGGCTAGGTCTCTGACGACTGCGCGATGGCCGCAAAGAACTCTGACAAGAGGCGAGTCACAAAAGCTCACATATTAAAGTATAAGATATAACATACCGGCACTGGCCAAGTAATCTTTGGATGGAGCGGAGGCCAGGGCTCTGACGACTCCGCGATGGCTGCAGAGAACTCTGACAAGAGGCTAGTCACACAAGCTCACATATTAAAGTATAATATATAACATACCGGCACTAGACAAGTAATCGTCGGATGGAGCGAAGGCCAGGGCTCTGACAACTCCGCGATGGCCGCAGAGAACTCTGATAAAAGGCGAGTCACAAAAACTCACAATTAAAGTATAAGATATAACATACCGGCACTGGCCAAGTAATCATCGGATGGAGCGAAGGCCATGAGCTCTATTTTTGTATCACCCGCCTTGCGTCGAACGCTCGAATTATAGTAATTTTGATTTGACATAATAAATTTCGTATATTTAAATCGCTCGACGTCAACGAGCGGTCTCGACCACTCGTTGCGCGTTGGCGAATGATGGTAGAATAACTGTCAAATTTATGTAAGATATTTTCAAGATTATTTCTTTCTTCTGAATATACAGATAAGATGACGATTTGTTGTGACGTTTTGATCTTTTCTAGCATAAAAGGCAGAAGATTAAATAACCAGTTATTGAGAATTATACTTTATATATTTAGAATTATACTTTTTTTCACAGCGGTAATTACTACTTTTTATCCTTTTCCGTGAAATTAATAAAAATAAATATTTTGTATTAAACTGGTAAGACGGGCTTTTCTACTGGCGTTTCGTAACACTGTATATAGATGAACGATTCAAAAATACGGAAAATCAGTCATGAAACTTGGAAGTCGAAAGTGACTTAAGTCGCATTCGCAGATACTATGTCAGGCGAGCGAATAAAAAATAGAGCTCCAGGGCTCTGTCGACCCCGCGATGGCCGCAGAGCACTCGCTACTGGTAGCTATGTAAGCACGCTTAATTCTGATGGAACTTTACACGTTCCGTTCTTACAATTTATACACTAACAATATATGACATACCGGCACTGGCCAAGTAATCGCCGGATGGAGCAAAGGCCAGGGCTCTGACGACTCCGCGATGACCGCATAGAACTCTGACAAGACGCGCGTCACACACGGTCCACAGGCGGACGCTGCGATCCGCGCCCCCGGTGGCTATGTACGCTTCGTTTGGGTGGAACTTTACGCACTAAAATTTCAATTTAATTATAACAGAAGGGATTTGAAGCTTATTTTTTTTAAACTTTAAAACAGTGTGCTTTTTTGAGTAAGCTGTAGATTTTGACGACCACCGTGGCCGAGTGTTTGTACGCCGGGTTTCATGGTGTCACCGACTCGAGAGGTCCCGGGTTCGAATCCCGGTGGGGGCAGATGTTTGTGTGATGAATACGAACATTTGTACTCCAGTCATGGATGTTTACTATGTATTTCTATATAAATAAACTATATATGTACAGTATATGTATTCTATCCGTTACCCTAGTATCCCATAACACAAGCCTTAAGATACAAGTCCGAACTGAACCGCAGACCACAGGCCGCAGCTGCAGACTGCAGGTGACACTACTAGTTTCTTTGAATCTCTATGAAATTCATTCCGAGCGCGGCGACATGCTGCGGCTGCACAATACATATAATGCATGGTCAGTCGCAGTGTCGCCTGCGGTTGTTGTCTGCAGCCCATTGCGGAATTGTACCTTTATAGTGCTTACTTTGAAACTAGGCTAATTGGTGCGAGTGTTGAAAATATTTATTTATTATTTAGGCTAACAAGCAACCATCTCAACAGATGGTTGCTTGTTGAAGGTCGTGATCGCGAGTCAAAGAAGGGAGTTGAGATGCAAAACACACCATCTATTTTTGTGTTTTGCATCTTAACACCTCATCTATTTTTCGTTGTCTCATATGTTTGCACGCAACAAGTCGCGCAGATCAACTGAACAGGCCGATACTTGACTATAGGAACTCAATACGTGCGCGAGCGCGCGTTTAAAGATACCTGCGACTAGGGTTACCATTTAGGAATTTCAAAAGTCCTGGCAAAACTCTTAACATTTCGAAAAAAGTTCGGACTTTTTAGTTACAAAATGGTACCATCACTCACTTAGTCACAATGGTATGGAATTTAAATCAATATGTACTTTTATTATTCATATTCAATGTTATAAAAAATCTGGAAAATTTAAAGATCCGGGCAAAGTCCGGACTTCAGTCTAAAAGTCTGGATTAATCCGGACGGATGGTAACCCTACCTGCGACGGAACAGTGACAATCGCGCTGCAAGTGAACGCGCAATCTTCTGAAATCTAAACGGTGCTATGTAATGACTTGGAAACTGTACGCGCGTAAGACTGGGCCATCATTACAATATATGTGGAGGTCCACATCAAAACGTTACATTTACATCTTAAATGATTTTACACAATTTGAGCAAAATGAACAAGTCATCAATGCTTAAAGCAATCTCTATACTTACTATTGGGGAAAAAAACTTATTAATGCATAGATTAATTTGGGTCAATCATCATGTGAATATTAATACTTATAAACTCATGAGAATTATTTATAAAAAAAAATTACGTTTTGGTGCAACTAATTTATTAATGTAGTGTTTTGGTGTAACTAATTTATAAATTTTTACTTTTTTATTGTGATCTACTAACAAATACCACTTTTTGATAAGAATAAAAAAAGACGTTTTAATTAATATATTTTATAATAACAAGAGAAAAATAAATATTATTATTAAATAAAATTAGTTTTAATGGGTTAATGAACGAAATTTATTTATTTATTGACGTTTCGCAGCCTTTTCAGGTCTGCATTGTCAGAATAATCAAATTACGTCTTCTGCAGACCTGAAAAGGCTGCGAAACGTCAATAAATTTCGTGCATTAACCCGTTAAAACTAATTTTATTTAATGAGTGATGTGCGTGAAAACCCAAGAAACAAATATTATTATTATTTATTTTATTATTAAAACCTAAATTGAGAGGGAATAATCTATAGCGCATATATTACTAAATAATTACGTTTTGGTGCAACTTGTTCATTTCATAGCGCTATAGTACGAAATTGAACGCGTTTTGTTGCACCTTCAATTAGAGTTTTCGATAGAATTCAGGAATTCAAACCGATCTGCATACTCAACTTATTTTTAAACTACATGTCAAATGTTACGTTATGGTGTGGACCTCCACATATGTATTTGACAAAGGTAAAGTATATTGTTTGCCCCATGAAATTATATAATGGCTTTAAAAATATCATCTTATTACTTACAGTAACATCAGACATATGTCCCACAAATACTCTCACAGGAAAGGTTCTATCTAATGACCAAAGCTTTGCAGTTCTATCATGAGATCCTGTTACAATGAATAGTCCATTTTTTGAAACATCCATACACCATATAGGGTAATTGTGACCTCTGTAAAATAAAACTAGTTATATTAATTGATAGTGTCAATTTAATCCTTGTAATAGCGGTTCCTGGAGACTCTTAAAGTTATTTAGAGAACTAGGTATATTAATGGGAATAGGCTACACTAATTCCAATTAAATCAAGACTTACCTATATATAGAAGCACATGAGTAATCATATAATCGCCAGGCCCTCATCGTACAATCATGGGAAGCCGACAAAACTAATTGTTCCTGAGCTAGTACACTGACTGCTTGTATGGGCCCTGTGTGACCTCTCAGTGGTAATCCAGCACCTACTTGTCTGACAAGCATAAAAAAAATGTACATAAAGTGTGTAGTTAGTATCTCCACCCCCAAAAAATCCAACTTTGTAGACTGTGTATTTTGTGACTTTATTCAAGCTCAAAAGTCAAATTACGTCTTCTTATGAGTGTTTTCATAAGAGATTATCTAGTAAACTATAGTTTAACATAAATTACTTACAAAGTATTGTCATCCGGTGGGGGCTCAGGTGGCATGTTGCATGCTATTTCTACTTCAGATATGTTTCTATTGATTCTACGTTTAACATTGTTTTGTCCCAAATCCCATAGCCTGATTTCAGAGTTACTGAAACCTCCACATAGCACATTGCAATAGGGGTCAGTCTTGGCACATACTAGACTGCAAAAAGATAAATAATTTTACTTAAATTAATTTGTTTTCATTTAAAATTTACTTTTATAAATCGAATATTATGTTATTAACTGTGAATCTGGAGCTGCAACTTTGTACAATTTGAGTGGTGCCATTGATTCCCTTACTCCTTTGATTGCATCTTGTAAATCTTTAAGCTCTTTGTCTATACTTTGATAGTCTGCATGGCCATTACATTTTGAAAATATATCCAGAACTGAAAAGACAAGATATTTTTAGTTTGCATGTAACAATTTATATGTAACAGACATATGAAAGGGAAATTGAGCATATTTGACAATTGATGATGAGAAAAAAAAACAAATTTAACAATTTGTGGGTGTTGCAGCCAAAATTAATGGCACATAAGTGCCTTCCTAAACATTGCTCCATCAAGCCTGTCAATACATTAGTTTGTATGATAATATAGAATCTTAGTTTCTCCTTACCATTGTCGTCAAAAGCATTTTGTTCAGCATTAATTTTGGGAATATTTCTCTCCTCCTCTACTTGATCTTCATCATCCTTAAAGTTAAAAGTTAATTGTTTATTTTAAGTTTTATTATATTTTAAGTAGATAGACATTTATTTCTTATGTTTTTATGCACAAACATTATAAAAACTCCCAATACATTTAAGATGATTCAATATTTTTTATTAAAGTATTAGCGACCACCCTCGATTTCGTGAACTTTAGTTTTTGAAAATCCCACAGGAACCTAGTACTTCCGGGATAAATAGTATTCTGTCTTAATCCTGGTCATAAACTTTATGCGTGCCAAATTTCAACCAAATCCGTTTAGTCGTTTTTGTGTGATTGAGTAACAAACATACAAACTTTCACATTTATAATATTAGTAGGAAATAGGATATTAAAACTTTAGAAAAACACCAAACAAATCATATACTAACAGAAGTCTTCTTGTTAGTGTCATTACTGATATCGATGTGAAACCATGTCTGCAGAACCTGTATTAAGAGCACATGACTGTGTTTAGCAAGATATGCTTTGAGTATGTTAAGGGCATCTTGGGATAAATAAATATCAAATTTACAGGATCTGTGAACAAATAAAAAACACAGAAATTCAATAACCCCTAGTAAAATAATACTTTTATTTTGAGAAGTAATTATTAGGTATGTCATTCATAAAATTTGGTTAGCAAACAAAAGAAGTCTTAAAATTATTTGGCCACCATACAAAGAATTTATAATCAATAATAATAATCAGGATGCAATTCTTGTTTTGTAACCAATCATTATGAAGGTCAGTGGTCGAGGCAGTGTTCGGCAAAACGCAAAATAAATATTTGATAGAGTGAGGGTTGTAGATCTTGGAAAATAAGTGTTTTAGACCAAACTAAACCAAGAGATCGGTAAGTACGTACGAAACGACCTCCGGTGCTACAATACTCTCTCGATCGATACAAGCTCTTGGAAGAAGCCATCTGACGAAGCTGACCACAGCGAATGGGGAAGTTGTTGCTTCAAAGCCGGCAGTCCTTTCGGAAGTGGAAGACTTCTACGGCCAGTTGTACGCATCACATGCATCTCGACTAGGTCCCGGAAATGAGGATCCTAGAGCCACATTAACACGCCACTTCAACGAAGACCTGCCAGAAGTCAGTATTGGCGAAATCGAGATTGCTCTTGGGCAGCTTAGGAATGGAAAAGCCTCTGGTGAGGATGGTGTTACAACAGAACTCTTGAAAGCTGGAGGTAAACCCGTACTGAGGGAGCTCCAAAAGCTTTTTAACACTGTCCTTTTCGAAGGGAGAACTCCGAAGGTGTGGAGTAGGAGTGTGGTCGTCTTGTTCTTTAAAAAGGGGGACAAGACCCTACTCAGGAACTATCGACCCATATCCCTTTTAAGCCACGTCTATAAGCTGTTCTCAAAAGTAATCGCGAACCGTCTTCCGTGAAGACTTGATGACTTCCAACCACCGGAACAGGCTGGGTTTCGGAGCGGATAAGGCACCATAAACCACATCCTCACAGTACGGCGGATTATACTGAGGAGTACAATCAGCCCCTGTGCCTATCATTTGTGGACTATGAGAAGGCCTTTGACTCTTCGATTTGATTTGCAGACGACATCGTCATCATGGCAGAAACCCTGCAAGACCTACAAAAAATGCTGAATGACCTGGATGACTCTTCTATACGCATCGGCCTACGGATGAACTTGGATAAAACAAAGGTCATGTTCAATGAACATGTTCTACCGGAACCGATTGCAATACACGGTGCCGCTCTCAAAGTTGTTTAAAAATATGTATACCTCGAGCAGACATTGCAGTTAGGTAGAAACAACTTTGACGAGGTGAATAGAAGAATTCAGCTAGGTTGGGCAGCATTTGGGAAGCTACGTCAAGTCCTGGCATCGTCGATCCCACAGTGCCTAAAGACGAAAGTCTTCAATCAGTGCGTCCTACCTGTGATGACATACGGAGCCGAGACGTGGACACTGACGATACGGCTGGTCCAAAGTCGTCGTCGTCTGTCCAAAGTTCAAAGTCGCTCAGCGCGCTATGGAAAGGGCTATGCTCGGCGTTTCTCTGAAGGATCGCATATGAAATGAGATATCCCACAGAGAACCAAAGTCATCGACATAGCCCACCGGAATAGCAAGTTGAAGTGGCAGTGAGCTGGCCATATTTGCCGAAGAACCGACAACCGTTGGGGTAGACGAGTTCTGAAGTGGAGACCGCGTCTAGGCAAACGTAGTGTAGGACGTCCTCAGGCACGGTGGAGTGACGATTTGCGCAAGGTGGCTGGCAGGAACTGGATGCGAGTAGCCCAAAATCGATCTGAGTGGCGAGCAATTGGCGAGGCCTATGTCCAGCAGTGGACTAGGATAGGCATCACACAGTTGCCCGCGCTTTTTCAAAGTAAAATTTAAACTGTTAATTTTAGTGATCTTATGTAAGAACCATTGAGACTCCCCTTCAAGAGGGTGGGAACCCTCTTGTAAGAAAAAATAAGACATGGTGGACCCCCCTCCTCCTCAAAATCGTCTTAAGTAATAAATGACTGGCACCTTACTACATACAATTTATAGATTATAGAAATATGTGATCTGATTATGAAAATAAACTAAACATATAAAAAGGTAAGCACTAATAACATTAATCTTACCTAAATGCAGCTATTGATGGTCTTGTTTCAACTTCTTGCAAAGTATATATTGAGCCAATATCATCTAGGATTTGGTTCAAATAGTCTTTCTCAGGTGTTTCATTGTCTATTGTACCATTTTGTAGGGAATTGAAGAGTTGCTCTAAACTGTTTGGCCGATATAAAGCCGAGGGCAAATTCCCATCAATAGGCTGATGATATGACATATCTTTTTGTGGTAATGTTGCCGAATGCCTTTTCAGGAACATCTGTGCTTGTCCACCATGACCACCACGTAGCATCTCCAAGTAAAGATGGCATAGCAAAGGGCTCAACAAACCAAGCAATTCATTTTTAACTTTTTCCACTTTTAAGTCTTTGATGAAGTTTACCAACCTACAAAATTTTTATAAGATAACATGTAGCCAACACTTTGTTTTAAGTACTTCTCTAAATAAATAGCTACTTACTAATTTGTCTAAGAATTCAATAGTGGCTACTTACTTGCTATACTGAGTATCATATTGCCCGGGATCATTGTTTATACATGAAAATAAGATTGAATTAGCGCGACTCGCTTCACATTGAACAATGGTAGAAACAGCCATCTGTTCGGCACTTCGACTCAAAGAATTGTTGCTGTTAAATATGTTTACGTCCTGAAATAAAAATTGGGTAAGTTATTTAAACTGTTTTATATAAAAAAATAAAAATAGCCTTTTCTCTGCTGTACATGTTAAAAGTAACTTAAAATTAAAAAAATATATTTAATCACTGACATCGGCACGTGTATAATCAGGTTGTCCTTGGACATAGGCCTCCTACAGACTGGCCCATTGGTTTCTATCTGTGGCTGTATGTTGCCAACTCTCGGGTAAATCATCTTCCCATCTATTGTGTTGTCTACTTCTTCTACGTTTACCATCTCGGGGCTACCACTTCATGATATCTTTTGTCCATTTGTCCCTCTTCAACCTCATGTTTGCCTAGTCCATCTCCACTTCAGTGATCTATCTTTTCTAGTTACATCTACTACTTCAGTCTTTTTTCTTATGGCAGAGAGGCAAAGATTGTCTTTTAGTTTGATACCTAGGATACTTCTTACGATTCCTTGTTGGCATACTTTTAACTGATATGTTGTATGGTTTGAGTAGGACCATGTATGGCTACAATAGGTAAGTATTGGTAGTATGCCAGTGTCAAATACTTTATTTTTGTGTAAGCTAGGCATAGAATTGTTTTTTATTATTTGTTTCAGGGACCAGTATCATGACCATGTGTTATTAGTTTTACGCTGTAATTCTTTTTGCATTTGTAGTTCTGTTGTTATCTCTTGTTCCAAATATATATATATTTGTCAATGTAGGTATTCAATAAGTTAATTTTTTACTAAAATATTTAATTTGGAACCATTGGTCATGACTTTAGTCTATGTCAGGTTCATGGTTAACCCTGCTTTCTCACATTCCTCTGCAAGTTTTATTTGCATGTGTTGAAGCAGTCAGAAAAAACTGTTTTTTTAAATGAAGACAATTGATGTTCACTGATGAATTAGAAGAAGCATCGGCATACTTGCATGGTGTGGAGTTTGCCGTACGAAGGGGTAGATATGAGAAAAAGAAATATTTGAGCGCGACAGACATTTTATTGGGATGTTAAGTGAACCTTCCAGTAGCTTATACTCAGAAGACTAACCGGCGGTCAGAGTGGCTATACTGTGAATTTTCGAGTTAGGAAACTGTTGTAACAAGATTTATTTACCAAAACAAAGGTAGATAAAGGGTACTTACGGGATAGTTTCGACGTTCTAAGTAGGAAGTGACTGCAGCTTTGACTGCATCATTGCGCGTCTTTTTGATCAAAGACATTGATTGCAGAAATTATGTAATTTAAGGTGTAAGTAAAATTAAATATTTGTAAACAAACTTCGTCTTCATTGCATTTTACGAAAGCAAACAAACCACAAACCATCAAAGCAGCAGCACAGTAAGTCACAGACTAGCAGTAAGTAAAGTTTGACAATTAATAGTAATAGGGATGCCCGATCAGTATCGATAATTTTGAACTATGAATTACGGTAATACGATTAATATTTTTATTGTTTCAATAGGATGCGATTTTTTACCAGATGAAATCGTATGTTCAGAAGATCGTACGACGAAATTGAATAAAATAACTTTTTTTTATTTATTTGTATTAAGGTATTGCAGGCCCATATACTTTATAGTGTAATATAAATATGAAATATTATAAAACACAATTAAAATTCTAAATTTTTAATAATACGTTTATTCGGCGACGTGTAGCGCGGAGTGATGGAGTGATCAGATAATCCGCCTTTGAAACGCCGGAAAACCACACCTTTCGGCTAAAGCTCCTCTTTCAAAAAATGAGTGTGCTTATGACCACACGACTGAAGTGAAATTTCTTTAGTTGTAGTTAGGATCAAATAAATAAACTCAAAATTAAAAAGAATTAAATAAATTACTTTATCAATTAAATAAGCTAATAAATTCATACAAAGACATTATTTTTATTTTAATAATCTTTCAATCAAGTATCCGAACGCTCAATAAAAGTATTTCAAAGATATCTTGACAAAGTAAATAAAAATCATAATACTGAGGACGCAGCCTGAAAAGGAAGCAACACGTCAAGAAACAAATAAATCAGTGTTGAAACTTGTTTTATTTACATACACAAAACTTGGTATTTGTAACATGTTTCTCTACACACGCACTAGCACGTGGTTGTTGTATAAAGCCCACCATTCACTACACGCACCGCGAGCCGAACCCCGAGCCGTACCCATCCGTGGACAAATCCGTCATTGCCCACACACTACACGAGCGTCGATTTGCAGTCCAGTCGCTTGTGTACTTTGGTGAGCCTCGCGCGTATCGTTCTTCCCTACCCTACCATGTCACCGGTGCTTTCCAAACGCACAAAAGTCGCTTTAGTAGTCGGTGCAATACTTTTAACGGAGAATAAAAAGAAAAAGCGCGTTTGAACAAAGGAATGGCTGAAACAACGAACAAAATATACTCATTTAAAATTGCTGCAATGCATTCAGACCTGTAAACCACCTGTTTCTCTTTAGTTTTCTCTTTAAACAGCAGGATAAATTCTTGCCAAAACTCTTTATGATCGCCGAACGACATGTTATTATGCTCGTTTACTCGTTCGTGATACAAACAACACAACTGCAGGCCAATTATGCTCGCTAATTGTAATATTGTTTTGATGTCAATTTCACATTACGCATTATGCTTTCCGAAAAATGCGATATCAAAATGACATCAACTTCAAAATAATATCAACTTAAATGCGTATTACGTTCAACTTTTTGACGTAAAACAGTATCGCATAAACGTCAAAAAAGTGATATAGACGTGATACAGAATTAACAAGTTAAGAGGTGGTTCTGCGTGCACGCACTACAATTGACTGACAAGTTCACCGATAAATCTGTGCAAGCACACACACGTACAGATTTGTAAGGCGCGGCTGGGGTGCGGCGTGGCGCCGCACAGTGGGTGAAAAAAAGAGGTCCCCTTTCATAGGATATTTGAAAAAATAAAAATGTATATTATCCGTTTAAGGTATGCGGTTTTATTGGACATATCAGTACATTGAATAATAAAATAGTTTGGGGAATTTCCTTTTAATCTAACACCATAAAGCACGGGCTTTAGAGTTTCAAATGTATGAAAACGGAATTTGTTTTGCTCATAACTTGTATCGGTCTTCTACGGTCAAGCTGAAACTAATAGGGATTATTACCGGGTCTGTTACGAAGCCACGTGACCTTTGACCTTCACCCCGGACGGCCCCGTTCAAAAGATACGAATTTTTCAAAATGCTTATTAGGGTAATTTTGCTTTACGGGGTTATGTGTCTCAATAAACAGTTTGTTTATGTTTCTTGTCCAGCATTTAGTTATTAATACAGCGCAGATTATTATCTAATAAAACTATACATATATATATAGATAACGACACCATACAACTTAACTTTAAATAAAAGCGTCCTTATTCAAAAGATATGGAATTAATATAAATAGATAAAAGAAATAGTTTTAAGAAAAAGAAAACAAGAATACAATATTGTAAAGAATTACAATGAAGTCCTTTACAGCCTACAATTTAATCTTTTGTTTGACAATCGCTTAAAAGCCGCGCGCCATTAACGAGAGCATCATTACATATAAACAATACAAACTCTATTGTTGCAGGTTTTGAGGAATTCAAAGGGTTACCCACAGTCATTACCTGCCGTTGTTTGCCTATAATAATTACTGATTATTTGCTTTTATTGTGGGTAGGTGAATAAATTATACGTTGTTATTATTATTATTCAACAATGACTTCGATTATAATAAATACGGAGTACACCTGTATTTCATTTCACTTATCATTATTGATTCGTACCGTAACGTTCTCTTTACTCAAATTTTAAGTTGCTCAGAATGGAAGGGCTTGTGTCTAATCTCGACGTATTCTCATATGAGGCAAAAATCTTTTAGTGCCGACATGTTATTTCAAAAAGTACTCGATTCAGTGAGATTTTCATTATCTGAAGAACAAAAGACAACTCTTAAAACGTTTTGTGCTACATATACGAGTAATCTTAAACGCAAATGGAAGTCAGCTAATTACACACAAGGGAATTTTATAAAGAAGTTTGCTGACTGGTTGGACCAAGAAATAAAATGGCCAGAGTTTGTTTCACTAGACATAACTGAAGAACAATCAAATATTATGACGAGTTTTGAAGATCCTTCAACAAGTATTTCAACAGTAACAAGACCTAGTTTATCAACGGAATGCACTGTTCCTCATAGTGTGGCTGTGTCGACATCAACCGCTACATTTAGTCCTCGAAAAGAATTTGCCAATTTGAGTCCACTGCAAAAAAGAAGAAGAACTGAAAATCTCATTGCCGAAAACGATTTTGAGACACTTGCTTATGCCCTGGCTAGGAAAGCGGAAAATGAAAACCAAACGGACTTTGTAGAATTAGTGAAGCATTTGATTAAAAAGCCTGAAGATGCGCCAATGCTGCGAGCCTGCCTGAAATCGACGAAACGAACTTGTCATACCGATAAGGCACTCGGTATTTCAATATCACTGAAATTATCGAAATGGCAGTATATTACATTGAGGCAGACAATGAGAGACATGGGGTGTGATATACTTCCATCGTATGATGCTTTGAAGCAAGAGAAGAAGGAAGGCTACGTTGAAAAAGAAGACATGGTAATAACTGAGACTGAAGTTAAACTTAAACTTCAGTCTATTTTAGATATTACGGTCAAGAGACTATTAAAAACTCTGGAAACTGATTTAACTGGCAGTAATTCGACTCTTATCAGTAAATGGGGGTTTGACGGTGCATCTGGGCAAAGCAACTACCAACAAAAAATTTACGGCGATGATTCAAGCATCTTCATGTGTTCATTTGTGCCGTTAAAACTGGTGAGAGATGGTACTGATGAAATAATATGGGAAAACCCCAAAGCGTCTTCAACGTTTTACTGTCGACCCATTTATTTTAAGTTTGCTAAAGAGAACGATTTGAATGTTAAAGAAGAAATGACTTCAATTGATACGGAAATTGCTGCTCTACATCCAACTGTTATCGATGGTGCAAATGTAAAACACGTTCTGCATATGACGATGATTGATGGTAAAATAACTTCACATTTATCAGATACATCCACAGCTACATGCGATATATGCAAAGCAAAACCAAAAGAAATGAATGATATCGACAAGGTTACTCAGAGAACCCAGTCTGTAGACATGTTTAAGTTCGGTCTGTCTTCCCTCCATGCACGAATTAGATGCATGGAATGTATCTTACATATTGCTTACCGTCTCGACTTCAAGAAATGGCAAGCTAAGGGCGAAGATTTGAAGCAACAGTTAAGCCAAAGAAAAAAGGCTATTCAAGAACAATTCCGGACTGAAACGGGGCTACTTGTGGACGTTGTTAAACAAGGGGCTGGTACAAGCAACGATGGAAACACAGCAAGAAGATTTTTTGTTAATCCTCAAATTACTGCTCAAATAACGGGTGTTGATGAAGAACTCGTTAGAAGATTTGGAGTGATTCTTCAGGCTATCTCATGTGGAGAGTTTGTGGATGTGGAAAAATTCCGCCAATATTGTGCTGCTACAGCACGCAAATATGTCGAGCTCTATGAATGGTATTATATGCCCTCAAGCGTGCATAAATTACTCATTCATGGTGCCGATATAATAGAGCACAATAACTTTATACCAATCGGCAAGCTCTCTGAAGAGGCCTCTGAAGCTCGTAACAAAGATTTTAAAAACTTCAGAACCTTCCACTCGCGTAAATCTAGCAGGATTGCAACAAATGAAGATATTATCAATAATTTGTTAATATCGTCTGACCCATACCTATCAAGTTTCAGGCCTAAAATATGTCAACGATATAAACCTCTCACAAATGAAGCTAAATCATTATTATTAACTTCTTGTGAAGATAAGGAAAATATAGAGTTTGTAGATGTAGGTAATGTATCTGATTATGACTTTGATTAGTATGTGTTCTTTCCCTCAAATCAAATTATATCAAACTTTGTATTTTTATTTTTTTGTATCTTTGTATCATATTAATATAAACAGTTTACATATTTAAGAACTGTTGTAGCCAATTTGAGTTCTACTAATCTTTTATACTTTAGCTTGTATGTGTGTAGTAATTTATACAGTTGTGGCTTCCTTATTATGCATTATTTAATTTATGATATCAAGCTTAGTTAGTAATTTAAGTTTTGTAAATAAAAATATTGATGTTAATAATTTTGTTTTATTCATAATGTAAATAGTTTATTTTCTCGTTTGGCAGTAACATATCAGAATCTCCCTTACTACATTTACTAATATTAATAACCAGCTAGTTTATCTGGAAAAACACTTTGTTCATTTTAAGCTTAGTCAGTTAAAGTTCTAGGTATCCCAAAATAAACATATTTGATCAAACCCTTTCTTAGATAGACATTGGTGTCGATTCTGGCAGGATTCTCTAAACTTAAAACTAAATTTAACATCAGTCTGTCCTTTTCATTCTGTATAGAGAATAACAAAGATACACTGTTGTCAAATTTAAGTTTAACTTTAGAGAATCAAGCCAGAATCGACATCATTGTAAGTGTAAGTATGTTTGTTTGACAAAATTAATTATTATAGGCAAACAACGGCAGGTAATGACTGTGGGTAACCCTTTGAATTCCTCAAAACCTGCAACAATAGAGTTTGTATTGTTTATATGTAATGATGCTCTCGTTAATGGCGCGCGGCTTTTAAACGATTGTCAAACAAAAGATTAAATTGTAGGCTGTAAAGGACTTCATTGTAATTCTTTACAATATTGTATTCTTGTTTTCTTTTTCTTAAAACTATTTCTTTTATCTATTTATATTAATTCCATATCTTTTGAATAAGGACGCTTTTATTTAAAGTTAAGTTGTATGGTGTCGTTATCTATATATATATGTAAAGTTTTATTAGATAATAATCTGCGCTGTATTAATAACTAAATGCTGGGCAAGAAACATAAACAAACTGTTTATTGAGACACATAACCCCGTAAAGCAAAATTACCCTAATAAGCATTTTGAAAAATTCGTATCTTTTGAACGGGGCCGTCCGTGAAGGTCAAAGGTCACATGGCTTCGTAACAGACCCGGTAATAATCCCTATAAGTTTCAGCTTGACCGTAGAAGACCGATACAAGTTATGAGCAAAACAAATTCCGTTTTCATACATTTGAAACTCTAAAGCCCGTGCTTTATGGTGTTAGATTAAAAGGAAATTCCCCAAACTATTTTATTATTCAATGTACTGATATGTCCAATAAAACCGCATACCTTAAACGGATAATAAACATTTTTATTTTTTCAAAAATCCTATGAAAGGGGACCTCTTTTTTTCACCCACTGTGCGCCGAGCCGCGAACCGCACTCACCAATACATTCACAAGCGGATTTGTCCGCGGACTTGTCGCCAGCGACAAATCCGGCGGATGGGCGCGCCTGCACAGATTTATCGGTGAACTTGTCAGTCAATTGTAGTGCGTGCACGCAGAACGACCTCTTAACTTGTTAATTCTGTATCACATCTGTATCACTTTTTTGACGTTTATGCGATACTGTTTTAAGTCAAAAAGTTGAATATAATACGCATTTAAGTTGATATCAAGTTAATATCATTTTAAAGAGTTGATCATATTACGCTTAATTTGATGTCATTTTGATATCGCTTTTTTCGGAGAGCATAATACGTAATGTGAAATTGACATCACAACAATATCACA